CTCTCTCTCTCTCTCTCTCTCAACTCAGGATTCAGGGCCACAGGATTTTGGCCTCTGCCTCCCCTTCCTCCACGACCACCTGACCCAGATCGACCTCCAATAGGTGTGTAAACCTTCGAATCAGCCATACCACCACCAACTCCATACGATTAAGTTGTTAGGGTAGAAGCTGTTAGAGTATAACAGAGAAGATTTAGGGCAGAAGCTGTTAGGGTTTCCTCTTGGGTAAGATCACACGGATCAGAAACTCCTGATCCACACCAGACATGGAAGCCTTCATACGATTAAGCTCCTCTCTTCACTCCTCAAAGGGCTTCGACTGAGTAACTCGCCGAAACGGATCCCCCTGTGCAACCTCCACCGAAGCTAACCGCAACGATGCAACCTCTTTCTCTCTTTCATTCATCGCGATAATATCACTCGTCAACCCTTCCATAGATTCCACAAAGGAAGAAGGGTTCAAATCGGTCTCACATACACAAAGGCTACTCACTGGATTTGCCTTTATTTATTTATTTTTTTCTATTTTGCAGGTACAAAACGATGTCGTTTTCTGATTGGCGACCAAATTTTTTTGGTCGCCAAAAAATTTCATTTCCCCCCTCCTGGTTGTTCAAATTTCCCTCCCAAACTTTTGGCGACTAAAAGACCAAATTAGTCGCAGAAAAAGTACCTTCGCCAACAAACTTTTTTAGTCGCCAAATCTCAATCAACGGCGACTAAAATATTGGTCGCTAAAAATACAAATTTGGCAACTAATTTTTTTTGGTTGTTGAAAATAAATTTTTGGCGACCAAAAATTTGGTCGCCAAAAAATATGTGACCTTCCGCGACCAATTTTGTAGTTAGTCGGGAAAAGTATACCACTTTCTGCGACCAACTCATTTTTTGGTCGCCAAAATATAACCTTCTGCGACCAATAATATTTGGTCGCCAAAAACAATGATCATTCGCGACTAATTAATATTTGGTCGCCAAATGTCATTTTTTTGCGACCAAAATTTTTTTGGTCGGCAAAAGTGGTCGCCAAATGTGTAAATTCTTGTAGTGTGTTTTTACTCTATGTTTTATTTAAAATTCATTTTCTTACATTTTAAGATGAAAAATTACTTATCAAATAAGGCCTACTTTTTCAACAAAATTTCCATTAGATCTTATACTATGTTGAAAGGGTTGATTCATGTGTTAATAGGATTAAATGAAAATTTCATTGGAAAAGTAAGACTTATTTGATATTTTTCTTTTGAATTTTTGAAAAATTCCTTATAGAAAAAGCAATTGTTATAAGCATTATCAACAATATTTTACAAACAATGCTAATATTTGTGAAAAGAATATAATTTTTTTATACTATATAATTTAACATGTGAATTAAAGAATTGTAAATAATAGTGATGGAGGTTTCTTTTAATGGTTTGTTTCTTATTTACAAGTAGAGATATTTTTGCAATTACTTTGATTATCAAGGATTTTTTTTTTTAAAAAAAAAAAAAAAAAAAAATAGAAGAGAAAGTCTATTTAAATTGGGCCCTTCCCCTAATTGAGGCCCAAGGCAAGTCCCTCACATGCCTAGTGCTTCAGCCAGCACTGCCTACATGCTGGGTCCCCTAATTCCTAGGTCCAAGTCCGACAAAATTTTATATGATCATTTAGCCATTTCCCATTCTTGTTTCATGAATGTAGACACAATGAATAAGTTACTTGAGATGGGCTCTACGAAATCTTGATTTTTCTTCTCCTCCTCTTCATGTTCTTGCTCGTCTCTCTAGCGTTGACACCTAGAATGAGAGAAATGGGTCACTATACTTTTAACACCTAATGAAATCTGGGACACTTGTCCCATTCTAATGCAATGCATTAGTGAGATGTCTTCATGGCAACTAACCACTTGGCCAACATGAACCCAATACATAAGCATGATAGTTCCCCATCAGCTTAGTTAATCCCACTTAATTAAGCCTAATCTTGCTTATCAATTACCAAATTACATACATGAAAATAACATGAATCAATTTTATTATTATTTTTTAACTTTCATCATTTTATTAAAAATTGAAACTATAATTAGGATAATCACAAATCAAAATTCCCAAATTTATTCACTAAGGCAAAAATGCGACATAAATAATTTATCATGAATTTAGGAGGGTTCTAACACTCAATTATCACACATACAATATGCAGATTAAATCATAATTAATTAAAATAGACATGTATGGTAAATTTCCGTTGAATACCATTAAGCAAAGAGTGTTGCTATTAACACCTGTCAAAATTCTTTGGACCCCCTATTTTATAATTTTTTTTATTACAATTATACCCTAAAGTAAAATTACATTAAAAGACATTATTAAATGGAATACCCACATATCAATAAGAACTAATACTCTATAATATTGGACACCCACCTCTAACTCCAACTATACATATTCTATATTTGTAAATCCTAAACCAATTACTTTTCATAACCAATTAACATAAACCCTAAATCTATTATTTTATAAATCCTAAATCTATTATTTTTCATAATCATCTTAAATCCTGAATGTGTCATCTTCATTACCATCATCAACGCTATTGAACTTGAAAGTTTTGCTTCAAGTATAACGTATACTTCATCATCTTATAAGTTTATCTGTCTTGCATTAACATTCTCGGTTGTTTTCGGTCGTTCTTGTTTCGTTCGAGCTGTTCGATACTGTTTTGCTGACTGTTAGAATTATGTTCGGTAATACAGTACTGAACATAATCATTTCGTTCAATACATAAGTTCCGAACATTAATGCAGATAGTCAGTTATGTAAGTTTCTTTGTTAAACTAACTTAGAATGGAAAATAGTGAATTGGAATGGATTTAAGTTATGTATTTTGAATGGATTTAATTCATGTTATTTTAAGTTGTGAATTGGAATTGATTCAAGTTACACGGTGATGAACAAATTTTGTTCGGACATACAGTGCTGACAGGATCATTATTGTTCGACAAAACAGTTCTGAACAAAATACATTTTTTCGGCTACACATGGTGAACAAATTGTTTTGGGCTACATTCAGAATTCTGATGGCGATTCAGACGATGATTTTGATGGCGATTCAGACGATGATTATGTTTTTCCTCATCTTGCAAACGGTTATACAAATCCCGTAGAAATTGGAGTATCTTCGATCGATCTCAGCAATGATGAAGATACAAAAAGCAATGATGAAGATACAAAAAGCAATGAAGAAGATGATGATGAGAGGATGAGAGAGGTTACTGATTCGGCGATACGGAGAG